CAGAAAACAACCCTGTTTCCTTAACTTATCACGTCTGAATCTGCAGACTAAACCTGTTGATCCCACTGTGGAAGGAGGTGCTCAGGTACAGCAGATTGTAAATATTGAGTGTATATCAGACTTCATGGAAGCACCAGCCTTAAACATTCAGTTCAGGTACGGTTCTTTAAGTTTGAACATTGTTTCCCATTTAAATGCACGTCTAGAGGACTGTCTGCAGTAATCCATTTCCATGAATACAAAAAAGTGTATTTTATGACCTTAAAGATTAGCTTATTGATGATGGCATAAACTTTTGTGGCTAGTGCCCTTCAGATATATAAAGCATAATCCTGGGTTTCTTTTTGGGGTGGGGGTTGAGCAAACATTTGAAAAAAAAAAGAAATGAAAGAGAAACAAAAGAGTAAGTTAACTATATTAGCAGCAGCTATTCACAAAATGTGATGGTTCTGCCACAGGAATTATTTGAAGGGATTAATATTGTTATCCTTTATTTCTGCTTCGTACATGGGCAAATTAAACTGTTTGATGAATTTTAGTTGAGCTATTTCATGAGGAAACAGGCTTGAAATTATTTTGTACAAGAATAGTCTTGAGGCTTCTCCACATTCTTCTCATGACTGCTATTTATCACACTGCCATTTTTAAAGTAAGCAGGTACCACTGTCTACATCTACTCCTTTCATTTCCCTCTTAATTTATTATCCCCCATGTCCTTTCACTACTGGAATATTCTGTTCACTTTGGATTCTCCTTCATCTCTTGGCGCATACCCTATGAAACCACCTGCCAGCAGGTGACATCTTGGAAGCACAGAATCTGATTGTTTGGTCTGATTATTTAGACAGGGCCTGCTAAGAGTCCCTACTCCTTGCATGGTTCATGGATGGACAGGATGGCTGTCCTTCTCAATGATGGCCTCCTGTTTTGTGGGAAATCTCTCTCCTGGAGATACATGAATTTCACTTTTTATAAGCAAGTGAAAAGCATCCTCTTCCAATGTGCCTTCAGTTGAGATGATTGGGATCAGAAAAGTACTTTGCTTACCATGCAGATTTTAAATTTTGTATTGTATGCCACCTGTTATTTGGAAGTGGAGAGCTGAGGGTCCAGTTTGGGACTATTGCTACTGAGATACTTATTTAAAACAATAATCTGCTTTTTTTAGGGAGGACAGGTAATGATATTATTTTAAAAGGTGTAATTGAGTCAAATGGTTTAAGAACCATAGCTCATGAAAAAAGGAAAGAACATTTGGATGAATTGTGTGTGCATCTAGATCAGGGGTGNCTGCTTTGTTTGCCTCGCATGGCTTTAAAGAGCAAAAAAAATGTATGAAAAGAAAAACTTCCAAATTAGCAATATTAGCAATAAGAAACTATAATAAACTAGTGTTGAGATTGTGCTTCTGTAAAAGAAAATCAGTACAGTTTTTATTTAGCAGAGAGCATGATGCAAAGAGATTCAGCTGCTTAAATCTGTCAACAAGTAGGGTGTATAATTAAGGAAAGAGAGGCAGTGAAGATGAGAATGTGAACTACAGTCAGAAGAGAAAGAGAGCTGAACTGAAAGTAAATTGTGGAAGTGCTGAGAATATCAATCTAACCCAGGGGTGTCAAACTGCCAGCCCACGGGCTGGATCGTCACAACAAAACCGCGCCCACCCCATTGCCGACAATGGGGGAAAAGTTCCAATATGTCGCGCAACGTCACATGACGTCACGAGTTTGACATGTCTGATCTAACCAATAAGAGAGATATGCAAAATGTGTGTTTGAGACAAGGAAAGGAGATATAAGTGCAGAATCCCTTTCCTAATGATCTCTACATATTTGGGTCAGTAGACTATGAGCAGAAAGCTGGCAGATGCATTTTGACATGAATTTCTAAGTTAAAGACAATAGAGTAAGTGAGATGACAAAAGACTTGGAAGGTAGATAAACCTCTTGTCTCCTCCATAACCAATCCTATTCAGACTTTGTCATATACTTTTTTAAAACTTGAACTGTCTCTGGCAATAACTCTTCTAATAACCTCCTTGCAACCTCTTTGATCCCAAACATACAGTTAAGCTATTTATTTCCCTTCTACCTATCTTAACCTTGCCAAACCTTTATGACCAGATTCAGTCTTTGCAAGGTCCAGCAGAATAATAACAGAAAACAACCCTGTTTCCTTAACTTATCACGTCTGAATCTGCAGACTAAACCTGTTGATCCCACTGTGGAAGGAGGTGCTCAGGTACAGCAGATTGTAAATATTGAGTGTATATCAGACTTCATGGAAGCACCAGCCTTAAACATTCAGTTCAGGTACGGTTCTTTAAGTTTGAACATTGTTTCCCATTTAAATGCA